TATGGCTGTTATTGGTTTTGATCAGGGGTTACTTGTAGGCTGTTACTGGTTCGGTATGGGATTTCGGTCTGGAGTTACTCAGAATACAAGTAACCCATACAAGTAACCCCACGATACAAGTAACCTCATAATACAACTAACACCCTACAAGTAACCTTAGAATACAAGTAACCCTAAAATACAAGTAACCCTAAAATACAAGTAACCGTGCCGCACCATGTGGCTTGCCACACTGAAAAACCTCTGTAAAATTTATTGTTTGAAAAATAATATGGAGTAACTTTTTTAGTGCAAAGGATAAGTTTAAATACTTTTAACATAATTTTAATCCGTCTTACAATAAATTAACGTACACCAATTTTTTTTTTTTTTGAAGAAATTTGTAATTTTTTTTTTAATATTTGAAAAAAATAAGTTGCCGTAATAAGAGATACTCACTACAGTTCCTCTCCTAATTGTGTGCACATGAAAAAAAGGGCAAATACAAGTTTATCTGCCACATAAACGAATTTTTGTTAATCTGATGGCGTTTTTGTAAATATATTGAAAAAACGTGGTCATTTATTCAGTACTTTTGGTGAGCTGTCCAATTACTGTTTGCAATTTGCTTTAACTGTTTGGCGAGGAAATTACACATGTATCCCTCAACTAGTACATAAAAAGACGCATGTACCCCTCTACTGATACTTGAAAAGACGATTATACCCCCAAATAAACAAATTTTGTTTATTTGGGGAATTAACTGGGTATAGCTCTGAAAAAATGTAACTTATATTATATTGGTGTACTTGAAGATAGTGGTCTTATGAGAAGACGTTCCTAATTTACTCTATGTGTATATCTTGTTTCATAAAAAACAAATGTAGTATAAAGATTGAAGGAGGATGAAAATTTATAGTTATGGAAATGCTCTGTAATATTTTGTGAGTTGAGAATATTTTCAAATCATTTAACTAACGTCGTGTTGTTAGGTTCTCCTCGGTTTTGAGCCTCTTATTGGTTCAGTTAATAATCTAATACTTGACATTAGATTATTAATGTAAGATATTATATTTTTCATGTTAGATATTAAATTATTAATGTCAAATATATAATAATTAATGTCAAATATTAGATTATTAATGTTTGATATATTGAATTCCTGATGAGTTTTGTCTTACACAAAACGTTTTCTTTAAAGGGAAACAAGAGAAAACATAGGGTATACTGGTATACTGTATTGCTATACATAATTAAAAGACATAATAGTCACATGAAAAATGAAGCTTTAGCTAGGGACAAGAATTTTGGGAGAATTTGAGCTTTTATTTAGGAAAAAAACCGAGCAATTGTCAATTAAAAACAGTATTATTGTACAAAGTTCTCCAAAAATTTGATCGATATACCCCCGATCACAGCAAATCACATATACTCCGTATATTTCAAAGCTTGCGGTGAATTAATTTGCATTGTTTATACAATATACGAAATACCTATTTTATTTTTAAACACAATTCAATTGCTTGCTAGGCCATTTATTTTTTTAGTAAACATAAGTTACATTAGACCTTGTTTTTTTCATGTCATTTTTGCTAAAATTAAATGAATTTTACTTATGGTAGCTTAAATGAAAGGTAGCATGCAATAACATCATAATTGAATTATGTATGAATCGTTATCAATAGCTTTTTCCCGTTAATATTAATTAAGCCATGTGTTTAATGTTTGGTTTGTGTGTAATTTCATAATAAATCGTTGTGAGAAGATTATAAATTTAAAAAGCATCAAAGTTCAGAGTGATAGTTTAATTATTGCCGACATAATAATAAAATAGTAGTAAAAGGAGAAGTAAGAAAGATAGCTAATGACAATATAAACAACCATAGAAGTATATTACTGGTCAACTTGCAGCCGTGTTCATACAGGAAGCTGCTGATTTGAAACACAACATAATTTGGATATTCTCCTTTCTTTCTTTATTTTTATCGATTTAAATATATAATTGTATATATTCTTGTTCAAGGAATAATATTTTTGATTTCTTAAGGCTAGCTCTTGATGAATGAGATTCTAATCAAGTAATCAGATAACAAATCCAAATTTGAAAACTTTCATGACACAATAATTATATATTTATTATAATGTGTACTGGCATGATTAATTGGCTACAGACAATCAGTTCAATGCATCTTTATTTGTCTTTGTACTAATTGATTTTACTACGTATATACTCGTACTAGTTACTGTTACCTCCGGTTTTTTTAGTTAACACGTTTTGAATTTAGTAATATTCACACTTCTCTTTGATCGTGTTTTGTATCTCATATGTAATGAAAAAAAATAGTTATGTGAAATCTTATTAGATTCATCACAATATATATTTTCAAAATATCAAATTTTCATACTTTTTGCTTATCAGTAATTAAAGATATGAGTAGTTGAAATTGTGCATTGACAAACGTGACAAAACAAACATGACAACTAAAAAAAACGGAGGAGGTATATATAGAGTACTACTAATTAGAATAAATTTCTGTAGTATATTATTCTCCCTCCGTCCCCTTTTGATAGTCCCTTATGGACAAATTTTAGTCCCAAAATATTCACCCCATATGCTTTTTTCGACAACTTTTAATTTTAATTTTTTTTTACTAATTCTCTCCAATTTGCAATAATATTTGTGCAAATTTAATTTTTCCATGTGCAAATTTAATATTTGTGCAATTTGCAACAATATTTGTGCAAATTTAATTTTCCCATGTAAATTTTGTTTTCCTATGTACTTTTAATATTTTCTCTCTCTATTTTTTTGCATACCCAATGTCAATTTACTTTTTCAATTTACTTTAACTATTCTTTTTTGTGTTTATTATTTCCCGTTAAAAAAGTCCATAAGGGACTATCAAAAGGGGACGGAGGGAGTAATGTAATATGCTAACAAATTTGTCTTCATAGATATTTTTGTATCTTGTAAAAAAAAATAGATATTTCTGTATATCTTTAAGTTATTAAAAGTTGCGGGTCTTGTGATCGACTGACCATATATCATGTGGCCGCTTATAAATGAACAAAGTAACTCTTATTTTACTAATTGAGTAACCTTTGTAATACTGACAAAGTAATAACCGTACCCTTCAAACACTAACGAAATAATCCTTGTAACACTTACTAAATAACCCCTATATAATATAACACTAAAGAGTTACCCCTCATAATGGCTAACCAGCCACAAATAAGAATATGTGTATTTAGAATATTAGTAGTCCTAGTTCAAAAAAATGGTTTGTACAAAAGTTTTGCAAAAATGGTTTGTGGGTAGTGGTTCACAGACTTTTGCAAAAAATGGAGACACAAAATTTCCTTTAATTTTTATAAATCAATTAATTAATTATAAAAATATAAATGATTTATAATTATTTTTGACATTAAATATAATATATTAGATAGGTTGATGTGAAGTTGTAAAGTTTTAAAAAAAAAAAAAAAAAAAATCTAGAAGAAAAAGGTAGTAAAAGAGATAAGGAAAGATCGAGTAAAAAAGAGACGCGACAAGGAAAGCAACGGGTCAAAGATAGATATCTAAGTAATGGAGTTTTGATACATCCAACCATTTCTTTATTAACTTTAAAATTTTCAAATGAGGTCCTTACAACATACATCCCATACATACTCTCTTGTCTATCTATAGTTGTATAATAATGTCTGGATTAGGACGAGGAGGTGTTGCTTGACCTTGACTTTGTATATCCCCTCTTCATCTACCAACATGTACCGCTTCTCTTACTTATTACTAGTAGTTTAATACTCCGTAAATAATTATACTTTATACCTTTATATAATATCTCCGTTTATTCGTAGTTGTACTCGTATAACAAAAACATACACTATCCGTTCCGTTATTACATGTCTGTATTCCTACTTTGGATGACCAAAATTAAGTGTCTGTGTTTTTATTTATAGGTTGTATTTTTTTACTATATTATTCTTTTTTGATGATTTATCACTTTTTTTTTTGGTTCTTTAACATCAATTTCCAATACTTTCTCTCTCCTGATTTTCAACCACTTTTTCTTTCTCTTTATCTCTCTTTAACCCTACATGCATACTTATACTCCCAATTATTAATTTTAAGCAATCTTTAATTTTGTTAATTCACGTGCAAAATGAGAAATAGACATATACTGTAATAAAGGGACGAAGGGAGTATTATTTATAAGACATAAAACAAACTTCTTTATTGCAATTAAAAATAAAAAGGGGTAATATATATTTAATAAACAACTTTAATTATTAATCTATCAACCATTTAATTGACATATTTATCAATGCATAACTTATCTAATATAAAATTAGTAAAAAATATTTGAAGTTGATACATTGAAATAAAATACACACTGATAAGACAAATTTAAAAGCTAATAAAATATATATAATTTCAGTACAAATTTACCGCGCAGAATAGTTAAAATGTCTAATATATTTTTTATTTTAATTTGAAACAAATAGAGCGGAACCTTTTTATACACATCTGGATGCACATAGGGGCGGATGCACCTAGTTATGATTTTTTGCTCATTAGAATTTTTTTTTGCTCATTATAGAATTTGAAATAGGCAAAAGAATATTAAATGACTACAAATAACCCTTTAAGAAAATAAAAATACACTCGGGTGCATGGTTCACCTGATTAAAAAAAAGAAAAAAAAAGCAGAAAGAACATACCTGTGTTTGAAAGAACATATATGCCTGTAATATGTTCTTTGAGTGTGGTCAAGATGTTTTTTGGGTATCAACTATATGTTCTTTAAATTATAACTTATGATATTTAACATATATGTTGATTAAACATGTTTTTCTTGGGTTTGATAATAAAAAAAATATGTTTTTTGTATTTGGGTCGTATGTTCTTTGAATTAGCGACGCACAAATTCTATATTTTTATGGAAAAATTGTCAAAAATAATATAACTTTTGACCGGTTCTTTTTAATAATACCACATTTGAATTATTTTGTAACAATACAACTTTTAGAGATGTTCATTTTAAACAAGACAAAATCGAATTTTCGGTGAATTAAAAAATCGGATATCTAAAGTAATAGGCCATGTCCCATTGGAGCCGACCCTTGACTGTTTGACCAATTGACCCTTCCACATAGGATAAGAGACAAAATAAAAAAAAAAAATAAAAAAAAAGAGCGGTGTTGCACGCGAGAAATCCACGCAATCTCCTAAGTAGTATAATAATAATTAAAAAAAAATGCCAGCTTAAAACTTATAAGCAGTGACATCTACCTTTTGTTTTTGTTGCTTCTTCCAAGCTTCCTCCCGGCCGCAAGTGTGTCAATTTGCCTGCCTCCCTCCCTTATCTTTTGGTTGGTTTCTATAAATACTCTTTATTCTTCTGGTTCTTTTCATTTGACTAACTCTCTTCTTTCTGGCACCTAAATATTCAAGAAAACTTTATTAATTGCATCTAGACCTCTTCTTTCTGTCTTTGTTTCTTACGCGAGTACTAGTTTTATTAATTTCAAGCTCGGTTGATTGTTTTGGTTTATCAAATTCGTTATGGAGTACTCATCATCAAAATGGTTCAGCGCTCCTTCTTTTGATCTCACTAATACTAATAATACCCTTCGCCTTTTCGACGATGCCCCCGTAAGAGATCTTCCCAACATCGTCAAGCCTGCCTCGTCTCCTCCTCCTCCTATCACTGCCACTACCTCCAATCAATTTACTACCAATCTTTGGCCCAAACAAGAGGTTCGTCTTTTTTCTTTTTCATTCTCATCTTGTTACCACCATCTACTGATAACGAATAAATAAATAATTAATTAATTAAGTTTGTTTGTATGGTGGTTGTTTCCAGCAGACAGGAGAATTAGTAGAGGAATTGAATAGGGTGAATGCAGAGAACAAGAGGCTAACAGAAATGCTTACAGTCGTGTGTGAAAACTACAATGATTTGAAGAGGCAGTTGGTTGATTACATGAGCAAGACTTCCAATTCAAGTAACGATATCAACAACAACAACAACAACAACAATAATAATAATAATAATAATAATAATAATAATAATAATAATAATAATGTGAACAAGAAGAGGAAACTCGACAACACCAATATTGTTAGAAACACTAACAACAATAACAATATCGTCGAGAGCAGCTCTAGCGACGAAGAAGATTCCTACGAAAAGCCCAAAGAAGAAACAATTAAGGCTAAGATCACAAGGGTCGCTGTTCGAACCGAAGCTTCTGATTCAACCCTGGTAAGTCATCATTTAGCTTTTAACGCGCAAATAATAGCTGTCGTGTACGAGTAACAAATATATACGGAGTAATACATATGCCAGTATTTCAATTTGTTTAATGATCGCGTGCAGATCCTCAAGGATGGCTACCAATGGAGGAAATATGGACAAAAAGTGACTAGAGATAACCCTTGCCCTAGAGCTTACTTCAAGTGCTCATTCGCTCCTACTTGTCCCGTTAAGAAGAAGGTAATTACATCTATCCTTGTATTATATTGTACACATCATTTTTCAATTCCCGATCCTCTAAATTACTTGATTACATACAATCATCACCAGATTACTGCCAACAATTTTGACTATCAAACATTTTATTAATGGAGGCATACCCTACAATTACCATTTTTTCAATCGGTTGGTTGCCTAATTATTGAACCCAATGCAATCACGACTCAATTCAATTCAAGTAGTAGTGTACATTATCTCTTTATTCTCATCTACAAAGCTTTTTATTTTATTTAGCCTATTATATTAAAACCAATTGTTTATTATTATTAGTATTAATACTAATAAATCCTCTTCAAAATCTTCAGGTTCAAAGAAGTCTTGAAGACCAGTCAATGCTAGTGGCAACCTACGAAGGAGAACACAACCATCCAGCCCCAGCACAACAAGAGGGTGCTGCACCATCGGCCTCCAGCCGGTCCATCGCCCTTGGCTCGGTCCCATGCAATGCCTCGTCAGGTCCCACCGTCACTCTTGACCTAGCCAAGTCCAAGTCCAACGCTAACGAAACCACAGCTGCCACCACCAACAGCAGCAGCAACAACAACAGCAACAGCAACAACAACAACAACAGCAACAACAACAGCAACAACAAGGTGTTGAATAGCACACCGTTGTCCAATAACCAGTTGCCCAAGTTTAGTTCAGCAGAATTCCAAAAACTATTGGCTGAGCAAATGGCCTCTTCCTTGACTAAAGATCCAAACTTCACAGCAGCCCTTGCAGCTGCTATTACCGGCCGATTCGTCCAGCAAACTTCAAGTGATTAATTATACATTTATTTGGAAGAAAAATTCGATTATTAGGAATGAATTTGCACGTACAATTTCAAGTTTGTCAGAAATGCCTTAATTTGAAGGCCGGTGTAGGAAATTTGTTTAGGCAATTGTACAGATTGATCACACTTATTATTATTCCAGTGTTGAATTTCAGAGATATTGATCCAATATTAATATTAGTCATCATAAATATATTTTTTTTGAATCGTACGTGTTTGCCAAGCTAATTAATTAAGCAGATACATATATAGCGTACATGCTCTTAAATCTTACACCAAATATTTTTTGATGCATTGAAGATTTCTCTTCTAAATATACATCACTAATAAATGTATTTTGTTTAAAAAATATATAAATATAGCGATTCAATAGTTTAGGAGCGTTAAACCAAAGACAAAGTGACCGACTATATCAGTACAAAAGATCACGATGAATAATTGAGGAGATACTCCGGATAAGATGATGATATACGGAGTAATTTTTAGCCTTAGACATAAAACTTACTCTATTCATCATGTTAAGGGAGGAAAGGAGAAATTCAAGCTGAAGGTTTGAATCTAGAGGAAAACGTCAAGTACCTAGCTAATAATAGCTAGATAAACAACTCTCAATTTCAACGTTAGTCAAGATCGAGGTAGCTGAGAATTGAATTCTATCTCTAGCTAGCTAGGATGGACAGAATTCTACTTGTTTCTCTTTTGAGTTGTTCACCCAACCCAATGTTTAAGAGTTAGCGGGGAGGTCGTAAGGTATGTAATTTCCTAGTCACAAAAGTAAACTTAACAAATAGCGAGCCTCAGATTTTGTGACATCAAAAACACAAGATGAGTTCTCAATCATCTCCACTTGTTAATAATAAACACTTATAGTATTGGTTAACAAGTATATTTTGTATTTTTTTTTTCTTTTTATTATCTAATATATATCATCACATTTTTTTTATATCAGAATTATATAAAAAATCTTGCAGTCCTCTTTATTTTTTTGTTAGTCATACTTTTTGTACAATATTTAAGATTAGATATATAAATATAAAAATAATTATAATATTTTTAATATATAGTAAGGGTCTGGTCTCTTACGTTGAAATTCAGTTCAGTTTAGTTCAGCTCAGTTCAGTTCAATTCAGTTCAGCTCCTAATTTCCTTCTCTTATAAAATATTCATTTCATTTCAGTTCAGCTCAGTTCAGTTCAGTTCAGCTCAATTCAGTTCAGTTCAGTTCAGTTCAACTGAGTTCAGTCAATGAGAACATGCCCTAAAACTACACATTAAGACAATTAAACAAGATACTAGGTGAGTATGTTTTTCCATTTTGTACTAGAGCAACAAAAAGCAAACGATACAGATGTAGCACAAGTAGTTTAGATACCACCCCTTACTGCTAGATCCTGGTAATTACTCAACAAGAGTACATCTTGAATTTATTACATGGAATCCTAGCTTAATGCGCGCTTTTTTAATGTTTGTCACCATCATACCCTATATCACACCAATTTGATAGAGTAATATTTTTGGACCCTAAATGTGCTTCCTCTTATTCTATGCCTCATTCGTTATACTAAAATTGTAACAATCGAACTTTTTCATCATTCATCATGCTTGTTTGACCATATATTATGATTTATTATACGTAAAGTAAAATATAATCATGTGAGATCTTGTAAGATTCGACTTGTAAAATACTTTTACGATATCAACTTTTTATAGTTTTTAGTTTTTACTCTTAAAGAATGATATTCCAATGGGCTAAGGGTATTAGTATCTCATCCTTTATTGACATGAGTATGACTATGATGAGTCCCACGAATCATAATCTATACTCATGGTAACAAATTAATTAGACCTTGTTTACAAAAAAGAAAGGGGGTTAAAAAGATTAGTTAAGTACAGTGTAATACGTAGCAGTCAAAATGTTTGATGATGTCGCACGACTTTCTAAACATGGCAATGCTAATTGCTTAAGTTATGCCCACAATTAAGAGTTAAGACCCCCTTTTGATGACTTTCTTTTTTTTTTTTTTGATAAATCTAACCTTAAATTGTTGAACCTCTTCTCTAATACTGACGTGTATAATCTATATCTATACTTAGTTAGTATTTAAAAACACGAACCACAAATCTATACTAAGCCACATGTCACCATAATCACTCATATGCCACATGTCACCTCTTTTAATCCTTTCTTTTCAAGTTTCCATTTTAATATGAAAACAATATGTATAAATAATGTTTGAGTCTTAAATATTTATGCATTTTAAAACTTACAAATTTAAGTAAGATAATTAAGTATTTCATATTCAATATAATAAATTAAAGTTTATATACTAATTAGTGTTCATTACATTAACAATAAAATAGTCTTTTCATCTCCTAAACTTAAATATAACTTAAACCAATGTGTCATTTTATGCCCTACAATATCTCTGTATATATACCTAACTAAATTCCACAACAACACCGACACTTTTCAAGAAAAATAATCTAAGTAACAACTCGTGCATCAAACGGGTCAAAAGGCTAGTTTTATCTATAATAATCCTTACCACTTGTACATTTTCACCTCATCAAGTGTGCTTTAAGATCATAATGTAATTGTTATATTTTCAATATTACGTTATATATCTACAAATCCTTTTATAAATCATTTTGTGGTCGTACAAAGTTATTAAATTACAGTAAATGGAAAAGCTTAATTAAAAACGGGATAATTTAAGTGAAATGAAAAGTATTACACGTGAAAAGATTGGAGGAAGTTAATGTGTGTGAGATAGATCCAAAAAAAGAACACAGGAGGAATTGAAGTGTTTCAAATTTCCAAATTTGTACTCGTACTAGTGGAATAATTGTGGAAGTTGGCCAAATGTCCTCCACTCCTCCGTAAACGTGTGCGGAAGAGATGTGTGGTTTGGGTCCAATGTTTTATTTTTTATCTACTTATATTACAAATGTGAGTTAGATTTGTATTTGTCTACTTGACTACTTCAAGATTAATTGCACGAAGACATTGTCACGACTCACGACCCACGAATTTGGTTGCATGTCAAACACATAAATCATTGTCAAGCACTCCCTATAAAGTGGTACTGTATATGTATATAGTTTTTTTAAAAAAAAATTAAAAGGTAAGAAAAGGAAAATACTACTCGTAGTAAGTAGTAAACCCTCCTTAGAAAAGGAATCTCTAATGCAATTATATACTCGGCACTTGTTTTTTGTTTTTTTTGGTTGGAAAGAGAAGAATTCTACCGAGGCAGAAAGATCTTGGAGCCTTAGAGGTATGCAATATGGGTTAAAATTACTAAAACACATACTATATGTTTGGTTATCAAAAAAATAAATTTTAAACCCAAATTCATGAGGTATGAGGTTTAGAAACCACGGGGGGAAGGTGGGTTTGGGCCGTTTGGCTCATTCCATTTAATGTATGGTTGGTGCACCCGGGTGCACCATGCGCATGGTGCACCCGGAAAGAACATTAGATATATTTAAAAGAACATGGGCGAAAAATAGAACATTATAAATATTTATAAAGAACATGAGCATAATATGTTCTTTAAATTTGATTATTATGTTCTTTGAGTTTGAAATATATGTTCTTTATATTACAATATGTTCTTTAATGTATGTACATTTAAAAAAAAAAAAAATCACCCTAGTAACTAGAAAAAAAAACATGTTCTTTACTGTATTATCATGTTATTTTTGTAAAGCCTTTATGTTCTTTGGCTAGAGGTGATCAAAGTTAGACTGACCCGGCTTGATTTTGGACGGGTTTTGGGCAAAAAAATTTTGCCCCAAATCGGGTCGGACCCAGCCCATAAATTTAAATTTTTGGGCGAGTTTGGGTTTGCGTTTTTATGCATTTTAGATGATTTTTTTTACTCAACCCGAAAAGCCCGCACGGCCGGACCATTTGGGCGGGTTTGGGCACAAAAACTTTAGCCCAAAACTTGGCCCGACTCGAGAAGTGAGCTGATTTTTTAACCTTGCCCCGGTCCGCCCAATGATCACCTATATTTTTGTCAAACACGAACATGTTCTTTTTTGTCAAATATGATGTTTTTTTTCAAACACGTTCAACCACCCAAGTAACCATGAAAAATAACATGTTCTTTTTCTACAGACTTTATGTTCTTTGTAATGTCACGTTCTTGTCAAACACAAACATGTTCTTTTGTCAAACACAGGTATGTTCTTTTTCAAACACTAGCATATTCTTTTTTTTTTCCCATGTTCTTTAAAATATGTCTAATGTTCTTTCTGGGTGCACCATGCACATGGTGCACCCGGGTGCACTATACTATTTTCACATTGCATTTCCTTAACCTTAAGTATCAAATACATGGTAGTAAGGGGATGAGATTCCATTTTAGAATTGAACTAAACATATAGTATTAAGTATCAAGTTCCAACCCAATACCACTTTAATTCTATTTTTGTTTCCTAACTTACACCACTTTGCAAACCAAACACCTCTTACAGGTTACAAGTCCTTTCAACCCGGGTTAATAGGGCTAGATATTTTGAGAGAGTTGTTGACAACCCAGCATGCATGGAAGATGGCCACAGATCGCCAACCACGCACTTTAAAATTTGAAAATGACAAAAATGGATGATAATGATAATGGGGGACTGTGTCAAAATAAAAGACGCCCTTGACCCTCGACTCCTACCTTAGCTTAACAGTCAAGCTTTAACTGCTACATACAAGTATTATGATGACAGTTATAAGGGTAGTACATGTACACTATCTTCCTCTCCTTTTACCTCCAAAAATCTTATTCCTGACCGAAAAATAGCTTAGGTGATTTCGCTTGACTGTGACTCTAACCACGTGGTTGAAATGTCTTAACCCAATGCATATATTTTCCAAAAAAAAAAAAATGTCCAATAACTTGTACTCCCTCCATATTTTAAACTTTCTCCGTTTTCAAATACTTGCTCTATTTATCCATGTACGGAGTTGTAGGAAAAATTGAAAAAAGTAATAAAATATAGAGGTAGTGGGGTATGTGGAAGAATAAAAAATTGTAGAAAGCAAAAGTAGTGGAAAAACATTAAAGGAGTGAGAACATGAAATTAATAAAATATGATTAATGGTGGGTCCATTAAGTGAGAGAAATTAATTAAATATTATAAAAGTTTTCCAAATAAGAAAATGGAACAAGTATTTAAAAACGGCCGAAAAAAAAAGTGGAGCAAGTATTT